AAATACATGGAAAACTTGTGAAAACAGAAGTCACTGATTTCACATAAGTTGCTTTATGCAAAATGCCTACCCTTTTAAACATCAAGAAGCATCTTTAAAAAAAACCAACTACTTACCTTTCATCTCTTTCATGAACAGGCTCCAGAGTAGTATAACACAATTCCTAAACCAGACTTATTTTATTTACAGCAGTGAGTAGCATACATGCACATGTCTGCTTTTCATCAAGATGACCAAAAACATTTAGAACACAGAGTTATTAGAAATGTGCAGCAACCACAAGGATGCAATTAACAGTAATGAACACTTAAGAGCAGTCAGAGCATACCACGCCAAGCTCCACGAAGCTACGTGCTTTCAACACAACATCCAAGTTAACCTATCTGCAAGCCACGTAGGATCTGACCGAAAACAACACAACACCGCCGCAGGTCAGCCATCTGCCACTGGGATGCTCTATATTCTGTATTTTTCCCCCAAAACGCTTACACTGCTTTGGAAATGCAATGTAAAATCGCAGCTGATCCCAGGGTTCAGAGCCCCACAGCAAAGCGGCAACCAGCCACAGCAGCCAGCAGTGCCAGCACTCAAGCATCTCCGCTGATACTTTTATTAGCAAAAACACCCTCCTGTCCTGTAATAATTGTACTGAAATAATAAGATTGAGCAGAAGTCAGAGTTACTTCAGCTTACCAGAAGCAAGGACTGGAAGCTGCCAGGTAGAGAGCAGTTCCGTGGGTGCCTATTACACAGGGCTGCTGCCTGAGGAGAAGCCCCACTGCCCCACTCCCAGACAAAGGCATTCCCACCAAACCCGGGGACAGCAGGATGCAGTAATTTATATAACGCCATGGCTATGAAAAAGATCTAGTTGCTAAGAACTGATTAATTAATAGAGTTAAGCACAGCCTTCTCAAACTGTGAGGATTTTAATTTGTGAAATGCTTTCTCTGTTTTGAAATACCTTAAAATACTTTACAATAGTGCTGCTGTTCAACCATTATTTCTGAAAGTGCTTGGTTCCAGGAACACAAACCAAGTAACAAATGGCAGGCCATGGAATAAAAGGCTGAAAGAAAGACCTCCTATCACCCTCCAAAGAAAGATGTTTGGCAATGTAGTTTTCAACATAAAATATGAGAAATGCTAGTTCATTTAACCTTTATATTGCCAAGAATTTGAATCATATGACACACACATGGTTGATTTTCTCTTAGGAGTAATAAAATCTTTCTTGTTATTGGACAGTATTTGCAAAACTGAATTCTGAGAAAAATTAATGGCTAAGTATGAAAAATTGACCTCAACATGGTTTTGGCCATTATTTCTTAATCTGCATTAACAATAAAACCTATTGCTCAAAACGTAATTATGTAGCAAAAGGACTCCTCTGCTAACATAAAGCCTTTTTAGATCCTTAAGAATTAGTTCTGGCAGCCTTTTGTAAAAATGTGAAAATAATGAAAAATATTTCATTAGAGAAAATGAAAACCTTAAAATAGAAATTTGTGTGTAGTTGCAAATTATTCTGAGGTAACCACAACAGCAGAAAGCAAACACTACAGAAACCATTTCTGAAGAAAGATTTTCACATTTTTCACATTATATTGCTACCTGTACGAAAAAGTTGTCAATCAACATGTTCACATAAATGCCTTTTAACAGTAATTTAGTTATATAACATATGGAAAGGAACATAACATTTATCTTCTGCTATCACAGATACTAACCACTGCTGTAGTACAGGTTGCTTTAAATGCTTGTCAGAATGCATGATTTGTAAGGGGAAGAATTCTTACTCAGAGAATGAAAGCAACATTTTTAGCACTTGGCCAATGACTACTCAACCCCAAGAGAGTGAGCTTAAACGAATCTTCATGACATTTTGATTTTTATATTACTATGAATGATCAGAAATAACTCTTACATTTGCATTTCAGCAGCAGTAGACGGTCAGCACTTCACAAACAGAAACAGAAAACAGTAAACCACATTTTTCACACTGTAGTATTGACTCACTGCATCATAACTTATCTTAACAGTGTTTGTACAGCTGTCTAACATCTACCATACAGCTTGATATGCAACTCTGCACTTGATAAAGGAGGTAAATTAATCTGAAGTTTTCTTGTACAATTCCATATACCATGGGCCTATTGAAAATTTGCAGCAGTGTCTTGCTTGTTAGTTTCAAACTGTAAATAGGCTAAAGAAGAATAGTTGAAAAGAATGCCACACTTGGACTGAGAGACTTATGTTGACAAACACCAGAGATCTGGCAAGCACAAGTTTTGTCATCTCAACAGAAAGCAGTGAAATACCCTTTTCTTCCCTTCCTCCCCGTTGCAAAATAGTTAGAGATCAGATACTTGGGGAACTACAACATAACTTATATTTCACTGAAATAAAACAGCTACGAACTTGAAGCAATGCTATGAGTATTTTGTTCCTCTATCTTAGTCTATTTTCAAGCATTATGGCAGCAAACATGTCACACCAGGTATAAAGAGATTAGCAACAAGCAACAATACACATGGTGGGATTATCACTAGCATTGTGTTAATATACTACTTTTCATCATTTGATTGATGAAAAGTTCTGAAATGATAGAAGTTCTGGAAAAGTATCTGACCTTTATTTTAATAGACTCAAGTAAAGCAAGCAAGTGCATTCAATTAAAAAAAAAAAAAAAAAAAAAAAAAGCACACACACATAAAAAACTTGACACTACAAACACTACAAACCAGGAAAATCTTGAACAGCAATGGAGAGATGAGCAATAAGCTGTAAGAATGCAATCTTCCTGATTTTGTAATACGTGGTACTGTTCCCAGTAAGACAAAGATTTTTGTACATGCCAATCATACAGTTTCATGTTCAAAAGATACAGAAGCAACCAATTTGTACACATTATTCACATTATCAGTAGCAGAAGTTTGCTGGCTGGGGAGCATCAGAGTTCCTATCTCATGAGGAAATGAGCCACGTGAGACTGTTTCTTTCCCCAGGGAAAACCATCAAGCTGGGACGTACTGCATACACATCCCAGCTCAACCCACCACGTGCAGCAAGACCAGTTGAGCGCCAGGACTGCACCCAAACTATCACCTATGCCCCTTGGGTCCTCCCTTCCTCAAGCTTTCATATTTGCTGCCATATGCCCCATGGTAATAACAACATTTGTTTCTATTTTGGAGAAACCAATTGGAAAAAGCAATAATGTTTACAAAAAAAATCTGAGATGGGGCATTCAAGGACACAGTTTCTACAATTCCAATGGTTCTGCAAGGTCTTAAAGCAATATTGCAGTCTAATCTCCCCAAATTCCATCATCACTAATTTGGCATTCTAAATAAAAGCATGACTACATTTTCAGTTATGATCACATTTCTAAAATCAAGTTTCTGTATTTTTCTAATAGACACTGTTTAAGCTCCTTGGTCTCATGACCTGCAGCTAACAAGATTCATTCCTCTACAGAAAAATGCTGACTTGCTGAGACTCTTTGCAGCAAGGACAAACTTATTTTCTTAATAATATATTTTTGTCTTGAACTGATACAGAGAAGCTCCAAAAATGTCATAATTTACATATTGTTCCAAAGTTTGAACATAATTTACATATTGTTCCAAAGTTTGAACAAAGTGCACAGACAAATTATAAATCAAGCTTTTATCTTAATAAATAATTTCATATGTCATAAAAGTGGATGTAGTGAATACTAACTAGCTGCCCAGTGTCAGGAGTTCAGATGTTTTCACATTGGCTATGCTTACTACTGAGAAGTGGAAATTTCCATCTTACATTTCAGTGATAAAAAAAAAAAAAAAAAAGGAGAGAAAAAAAAGGGGGAAAAAATAACCCCACCCTGTGCCTCCTTAATCCATATATTTGTTTCTTCTGCATGATTTTGAGTTAATTTTGCTACATTTTTTAAGAAAAATAACAATCATTCCGTTTTACTTCAGTATGACTTCACAGACATTTATTTCTATGAACATTTGAAGATCCCAGAAGGACTAAAATCATTCTAGAGTGACCATTAATTTCACAAACAGAAAAACTACAAGTGCTGACTTCATTAAAAGTTAAAGAAGAAAAAAAAAGTTAAAAGTCCTCAGAAAAGAAAATTTCCTCAACTCAGCATTTTCTATCTGTTAAGATGTGGCAAATAAAGACATTTGTATCTCCTTCCTATTGTCTAAAACTCTGATTTTTTTTTTTTCCTCCTCGGAACTACTTCTAGAGTAGGACCAAAATTTGTGGTACTTCTAGAAAATTCTGTTTTCTGGTTTGAAGGAAAATCTATGACTCCGGAATATATAGCAGGTGCAACATTACATTTATCATATGGTTAAATCAGGACAATGAATCAAATGAAATCAAAAGAAGTCATACACGTATTTTATTCTCATAGCTACCTGCTAAAAAGTTTATAACTTACTTACCAGCAAATTATCTGTAGAATTGTATAGATTAAATGAAACACCAAAGAAAGTGAGTTTCTGACACGACAGAAAAGCACAGCTACAACTATGAATAATGGAAGGTTTATTTTTCTCCTGAAATATGTTTGCACTTGAGACAAAGAAGAAGAAAAACTTACCTTTTGCTAAACTGTGCAGCAGGTGTTACACATTTTAGGAACTTATAGTTGAAAACTACCCAGAAAAGTTAACACTATTCATAAAAAAAGTATGTAAAGCTATTATGAATCTCTCCAATACTTAATTCTGAATCTAAATGCTATCTAAATTAATAAGAATTGAAACAGTTTCTTTTCTATTTTTCATACTATGCGAATCAGTATAGATCTTTGCATTTTCTCCTTTATCCTTCCAACTACAAAATGTGTTAAATCACTCTCACCTAATATCAGCCACCTCACTGTAGTATGTGGTCCTATAATTCAATTATTTTGCTTCTCTACATTACCATAAACGATTTTTTGCTTATCACAATAACAACAAGACAAAGAACCAAACCTTCCCACACTGTACCTGCAAAGCACAGTTCATCATTCGTACTATGTAGTCAAACTGCTGATGGTCCAGTATCGCTCGATTTTGTTTAACATGCAGGCCTAATTCCTGTGTCAGGCAGTGCCGGGCTGCCTTTCCTTTCAGGGCTCTCAGAGCTGCAGGCAAGGTCTGGAGAAAAGAAAATCTAACTTCACAAACATGAAATTGCAAGACAATGAGTGTCATATATTCTTTATCAGGAAACATTAAGTCATAGTACGCACAGTATCTGAATGCCTTTCAGACTTGAATATCAAATTTTCATGTAATAGACTCAAGCAAATTCAGACTATAAGTATAATCTTTACTTTCCACCTTGGTTTTCTTTTCTAGTGCATTAAACAATATCTCTCATCTACATCTCTAAATGGAAACAAGTGAATATAGAAAGGCACAAAATGAACAGGAAATCAGAAAAGGATTACTATGCATGAAAGCACATTCTGTATCTGTACCAGCCAGGCTAGGTCTTAAGTTCGCATATCAAGGCCAGCTAGCATGGTTTTTTGATAAACAGTGAATGACAAATGGTTTTAAACGATGCATACCACTCATAGCACTGAGCCACAAGACTTCTATGAAGTTTACCCTAAATTAGGGCCAATAAAATATTTATACCAACAGTTTAACGATGTAGCAAGTGCTACCTCAGTGATTATCAACTGTGTCCCTTTAGAGTAGTTTTAATAGACAGCAAAAGATAAACAACAAAAGACAGCTGATTATGAAAGGACAACTTTTCTAGGCAGGGTCCGAAAATATTGCTGAAATTTTCTAGTTGACTGCAAGTTGAATGAGGTTAAAAACTACTGTGCAACACATGCATTCAAAACTCTTTAAAGAGAGCTACACATTTTATTAGGATTTTTCTCTTCTGCATTTGGATAGGCTATCTTAGCAAACTAGAGTTTCTTGGTTCACATCTAGATTTATGCAAGCTCACAGATATACACAGATGAAACTATTCTGAGAAATCCAAAAATTTCTGAATATAATTATACCGCCATTTTCAGATGCATAATCAGGTTTGAGTACGTATCTGAGTGGTCACTCTAGAATAGAAATATTAAAATTCTATGGGCAGAGTCTAAAAAAGGGACAGCATCTTAATGTAAAAAAATAAGGATGTTAACAATTTAAATGTCTGAGAAAAAACTGAGGTGAAATATTGATATCTACCTCTGAATGCTATCAAACTACTGATTTTAAAAAACAGCAGAATTAATTGGGCTGAAAATTTTGGAAGAACATTGGCTGATAAATAGTGGAATGTTTGTATATATCTTCTGTTTACTTGCCTCAGTGTCAACATGATTAGTCAGTACACAATTATTCTTTAAAAAAATTAATCATGTGGACAATACTATTCATAATGGCAGTATAAATTAGCAAATTTATGCATTCAAGTTCCCAAATTTATTTGCCTCATATTACACATAAGATTACACTGAGATTATTCATTTTATCACTTCAACACTTAAATGACAAAAATAATAGTTTGAAATGTAAAACTACAAAACATAATTTATGCCAAGATCAGTCTCCATTTTGTTCATTAACAGAATTTATGCATATTTAGGAAAGTTAAAATTTAATTTTATTACCTTTTCAGTCTCCAAAAATTTATTTTCAAAAATGAATGAGATGCAGTTTCTAACAACTTCCAACCTTTGTGCACTATTGAAAACCGTGCTTCCTTTTTCCATTATGGAAACTAACATAAAAAGAGAAGAATACGCATGTATGAATGTATTCTGCAACAGTCACAAAGAATACCAGAAAGTTCTTAAAAATAAACAATGTGCCCTCCATTCTATTTTGTTAAGCAAACACTATCAGTAAGCATATACACATGCAAACATAGAATCTGTTTTTTTTCTATGCTACCTGCATGAGAGCACTCTGATTTTTAACTAAAGCAGTAGATGTTTCCTGTTGGTTTTCTATAGGCATAACAAGATTCCAATTTTCAGAAGTTAACATGCTAATGAAATACATAAATAAATAGAAATTGATATATACATATACACACTTGTTCCAAAGCAAACCATATTGCTTTGTACATTTCACAGGATAAATCAGGCAGGAGATAGCTATTTTGTTCTAAAGGAATTCTTCAGCCATGTCAAGAATCCAGTGACGTGAAATAAAACCCAAAAAATGTATTCTCTTTTCTAGATTCAAATTTGCTGGGATCTAAAGATTATGTTCTTAACATGGTGATCTGCTGTGAATTTCAAGAAAAAAAATGAGAGAATCCAGTAAATAGACTATAAATGCAGAATAGTTCCTTTTTTTTTTTTTGTAGATAATGATCTCCTAGTATACAAGGACGTTGACACTAATGATAGTTGTGAATATGGCTGTGAAAGTTATTTGAAAAAATGTAAAGTTTTGACATAAATATATGCTCAGTAAGAAAGGAAACTTTTTCTTGCACTTAGCCTGGAAACACTTTTAAAGAACATAACATATAAGTAGCAGATAAGACAATAAGATCTGAAGATGCAGTCAAAAGCAATGGCAGGTAAATGGAGTTTATCCTCTTCTTACACAAATCCAAAGAGAAATAAGTCACAAGGGGCCATCTAGTTCATCCCCACTGTCCCAAGACAGGATCAATTCTATATTATTCCTCTTGTTTGTCTAGTAAGTTCCCAAAGTTCTGCGATAACAGACTCTGTGGCTTCCCAAAAAATCCATTCAAATGCCTCACAATCTCCATTTTACCAAGTTTTCCCTAACAAATAACTTCAGTGTTGTAACTACATGGACTAATTCTTATCACTACAGATTATTCCCTTCTTTTTAACAGCATCTTACATAATTGAAGACTGTTACTATGTGTCCCCTCAGTCTTCTGATTTTTAGTCTAAACAACTCTCCATCTCTCTACACATGTCACATTCTCCAGGCCACTGGTCATTCTTGTTGCCTTTTTCTGGACTCCCTCCAACACAACCAAAAATGCAGACGATCTTCCAGTGTCCAAAAACGGATACAGACTACAATGAAAGGATTTCTGCAGGGGGTTCACTGATTATACTCCTGTTTATACATCCTACTAAGATGTTTGTCTTTTTTGCAATAGTTTGACATTGCTAGGTCATGTTTGCCCTATTAAAATCCTAAAATGAATTTCTGAAGAGACATTGCCTAGTCAGTTAAGCATGCCCATGCAACTGCAATACATTTTTTGAAGAAAAAGGGTAGAGAAGGACAACACTCAACAGAGATCAGTCATCTAATTTTCCATGATAAATTGCAATTCTAAATCCCTCCTTGAATAATTTTTCAAGCTCTACTAGCTTCCTGTATACTGCATGTTACTGAATACACTTTTTTATGGTGAATACAATGTTTCTGGCATTAAAACCAAATGAAGAAATGTTTTACATCTGCTCCTATATAAGGAGCTATATAAGGATATATAGGAGATATGTAAGGATATATAGGAGATATGTATATGGTATGATATATCATATACATATATGATATGATACATATATGATATGATATATAAGGATATATAGGAGATATATAAGGATATATAGGAGATATGAGCAGATGTATATCCTATATCCTTAGGTAAGGATATGTAGATACATTTTAGATAAAGTCCTTTCCTCAGTACCCCCCTTCCCTGTTTTGAGCAAACCAAGGACCTCATCCGTCTTGCTCTCTAGACCCTTCACCACCTTTGTACTCCTCCTTTGGAGGCTCTCTGATAGGTTTACATCCTTACACTGCAGAATTGCAAAGGCTGGTTGAGGTGAGACTAGTGCAGAGCAGAGTGGAATCATCCTTTCCCTTGACTGGCTGAAAGTGCTGGTAGTAGTAGAGAGTGACAGAGAAGGTCTCACCTCAGCCTCCTATTCTCCAGGCTAAAGGACTCCAATTTCCCCAGCTCTTCCTCATATGTCTTGTTTTCTAGCCCTTCACCAGCTTGGTTTCCCTTCTCTGAATAAGTTCCAACAAATTGGTATTTTTCTTGGGAGCAATACATTGCAGCCATGCTGATCACACATTCAAAACATGAGAAACAGTAGAAGTCATGGAACAAGTAAACGTACCAACAGGAGGACCTGCCGGAACAACACACTTCTTGTCCCCCCTTGTGGCAGTGGGAGCACCCTGACTCCTTGCAAGGCCTTCCTGAAGCAGCTCCTGTACCCGGCATTCATTGATCCGGGGGAATGGGAGGATGTGAACCCGCAAGTGGGAGCCTTCGGTGGGCCGTGGCACTTTCTGGAATGCTATGTGGGGATTGGGATTCTCCTGCAGGCCAAAGACAAAAATTTTAACTTGTATTACCAGCTGTCTCAACCATTTTTATCCCTGTTATTACCTGTCGTATCTGAGGGACTAAGCAACTAACACAGATGACTAATGACATGTTTGAAATTTGTATCATCCTTGATTCATTAAATGTAATATTTCCAATTCTCATTAAATGATTTATAAAATTATTTTTGTCAAAATTCAATGTAATTCAGAAAAGAAAGAGAGCAAAAGAAAATCACAGTTTGACTTAGGTTCCTTTTATGCAACTTAATATTTACAGTTTGAAAAGAAGATAGAAAAATCATCCTACTGAATAGAGAAAAATTTAAAAATATTGTAAATACAGTCTTATCACCAAGTACTCAGAAACATTCTCATCTTGGTCAAATCTAGAAATGAAAATTCATTTTTGTATCATGTTTGAAACCATTGCCCTATTTCACTGGGAAACAATTTTCTATCTTCTGTATGTATCATAAAAATGTTATACAGTTCACTGTTTACACAGTAGAAACCAAAAACATTTACAGGTGATCAAAGAGAGGAAATGATGGACTGAAACTACAATATATATATATAAAAAAAAAAGGAATCTGTCACATCAGATTCTGAAGTGTTCTCAACAGACAGAAAAGACTTTTATCATTGACAAAAGTCAAAATTTCCACTGTGGAAAGTAAAGCTTGCCTATAGTGATTTTTCACTCATTCTTTTATGATCTGTGCAAGTGTAATATGCACACAATTTTCACCATTGCTTTAAGGTTTTCACTGCCTTACTTGTTTCACCAAATGATTGCCCCACCTGCTACTGCATAACTGTTCTAATAATTTTCTTCATCTTGACATTAATGTGCAGTACTGCAATACCAAAGATGAGCGTAAGTGCTCTCCATCATACAACAGAGATGTTGATGATGCATGTGATACTATACTTCTTGTTCTGTCTCAATAGGTTCTGCAGCATTTGTGGCATCTTTTGTCACAGGTGGTCAGCAACTGAGTATACCACAAACCACATTTCATTTTACTGCCTCCACATTGATTTCAGCATATCAAAGACATAATTCCCAGAAAGAAATGTTAAGGACAGTGAAGTATGAAAATCCACAATTTCTTTTATTTTTTCCTCAAATAGCTGACAATCTTTTCTGATTTTTTGTCTGTTTTCTGGCTTCAGGTACTACCTTTTCCAAAATATGGCAGAGATCTAAATGCAACACAGAATTTCTACCACCATTAAGAGTATCACATCTTGTGTCTTGAGCAATACCAATCAAATCAAACAATATTTTTTCTTCTCTTCATTCATATACCAGGGGTTGTCATTGGTCTTATTTGAACTTAATCAGTTTTACTCTATGCTGTTTCTTATAAATGGCTACAAACAGCTGCCAAAGAGTGCCATTCAATCAATCAGTTTTTTGTTATACAAGCACAACCAGCTTGCAATAAAGCTCAAAACTAGCAGTTAGCCTGATGCTTTCATTTACAGAAGCCAAAGGCAACAAGGAGACTGAATACGTCAATTTGAGACAAAATCGATATATTTGGTCTCAGATGCAGAAAAACAAACCAGCTACTTAGCTGTACAAATTCTTTGTGGAGAGTTTAATGCAACAAGCCAAAAATCTAGCTATTAGGATGACAGTAGCAGATGCCAGGAGACGCAAGGCTGAGAAAGGAAACACAAGATCAACAGGGGGTAAAAAAATGACATTAAATGGGAAAAAGAAAGAGAGGAAAAATAATTATTTCACATTCCATTTCATGGACAAGAGAGATCCAGAAAGAAGATACAGAAAGAGTAACTTTCCTGTTGGACATCACAAAGCTAATGCCAGCTCTGCATATGCAATGATACACAGGTCAGGAACGTAATTCTAATGCCTTCAACTACTGAAGCAGTAGATGCCAAAATCTTGTCTAGATTTTCTGCCTGCACCAGCTAGACTAATAAAAATGTTATTTCTCCCTAAAAGTCTTGTTTCTCATATGTATTTAGACTATTACAGCTACAAGATAATGGTCATTGTAACTGTGGAATAAGATTAGAATACGTCATACAGTGAGATTAAAATGAGATCACTCTAAGCATAATTTTTGGAAGCAATGTTGCTTACCAAAGTACATTATTTAAAGATGCATAATTATTAAAAATGTGACTTCTGAAGTCATTTACTTAGTGGTGAAGCAGTATCACATCAGTTGCAACGGTATAAGTAAATCTTATCATGGGAACAAATGAAAATGAATGAGTTTTGACACTGATTTTAAGAAATCATTTAAGTAAGAAGTTATACATATACAGTAGGTTCTTTCATTATAAAAGGCAGAGAGAGAGAGAGAGAGAGGCACACAGACACACACAGACTAGAAAACAAATACAAATGTTCCCCATTTTGTCAGTAGTAGTTCAGAATTATAATAACAATTATATTTTGGAAGATTTTTTCTATATTTATGGGACATTACCACATTAATCATATGCTTGTAACACTGTAGCCCCCAAGCGCTGTAAAATAACAAACAAATGAACAAACAGGAACAAACCCAATCTTCTGAAATATAGCTTGACTTTATTGAAAATTAAGTGTGCTATTCCTTGTTTTTTTCTGCCATGCCTTCTCCATATTTGAATCTATACATCTCTACCATCTAACCAGAAAGATCCAGACTAGTTTACCTGAATATTGCCCATGGACATTTTAATAAACCTAATGGTCATGAATGCTGTACAACTGTCAATCAATAAATCTTCTGTCAGTGTTAGCATGAAATAAAGACCCAAATCTGGAGACAGCATTTTGTTATACAGAGCATTACTGTTGAGTAAGTGGCACAGAATATAACTCCTATTCAGAAACTTTAATTTCGGAATTCATAATTTTAACTTGGAATAGAAAATGACTCCATCAGCACTTATCAGTAAGAGAATGGCACAGTACAAGGAGGTGTACCATGAAATACGTAACACTTTATTACAGATGAAATTTCATGGACAAAATTAAGGTATGTAGCAAATATTCTCTTGTTTGATGTTCCGCTACGTTTTCCGAAGGAATATTCACTTAAATAAGTCTAAGACATATGTGTGAGATTATCAGTGTTAAGATACTCTAACATTTATGCTCTGTAACACACGGAAAAAAAATAACGCTTCCTACACATTTTTTAATGTGAAATGTTTTCAGTTCAGAAAGATGCATTAGTTGTCTCTTCTAATGTCTAATATAAACAAGGTAGGTTAACGTATGTATCAATTAGAATCATTGAATGGTTTAGGTTGGAAAGGACTTCCAAGATTACCCAGTTTCAACTGCCTGCCACAGGAAGGGACAACTCTCACTAGACCACGTTGCTCAAAGCCCCATCCAGCCTGCCCTGGAACGCCTCCAGAGAAGGGACATCCAAAAAGCACATTTAAAACTTCCTTTCAGTTGTAAAAACTGCACATCCAGTTGCAACAAACATGCACCTAAATAAACAGAATTCCCTACATAAAGCTTGGCAGAAAATGACATGAAAGAAGTTTTGAACTTTTCTTCTTCCACTACCATTAATTTTATGCTCTTGCACCATTAATTTTATGCTCTTGTACTGAGATTATAAGAAAGGGTAATGGTTCAATGTACTGTGCATTGTTCACATTCATCGCTCTACCTCATTAGTGTATGAGAATGCAGATGGAAAATTCAGAACCCCTTTTACTAGCAGAAGAGGTCTAACAGTGACAGTTATCGGTTGTTTCCAAGGCCATGCATACACCATGACCCAGACAACTCAGAGGACCCATTTCCCAACTCCTGAGCGCCTGCGCACCCATTGACTGCTGACCAGTGTACCCTGGTTAGCTTCTCTTCCTCCGTAGCTTCCTTCGAACCACAGCTCCAACCTCTAAAGTCACTCCATGCCTTCCCTGAAAGCACGGATTAGGACTGACGGCCATACCCTGGCTAAGAAACCACTCATGGAGTTTAAAATTTAATGCTGTCAAAAATACCTCCACTTACAAAATACTCTGTGTTTGAGAAGTCACTTTACTAAACATGCTCGCAGACTCTAAAGTTCCATCTTAATACAACTTCACTTGAAATGCATTTAATATCACTACCAGATTGAAATATATACTACAGCTTTATTCTTTCCATACCTCTCTTCAATGAATAAACACCTAAATGCAATATTTTAAAACAGTAGGCAAGAAACCTCCCAGACTGTGTTCTTGGATATTATGTAGAATTAGTAAAATAATGCAATCAATTTGAATAGAACAGTTCCACTGACAGCTCTTCTGACTTGGGTCTGACCACATAACACAAAACTCCTCTCCATAATTGCAGACAGGGTGAAGAAAAGCACAGCAGGAGCAGCCATGGAGTAAGGTGTATGAGCATAAATAAATCTTTCATTCAAAAAATGTGGAGAGGTCATTTGGCAATTTCAGAGGTAAAAAAAGACAAAGAGTGGAGGGTGGAAAAGAGAGAGACCATACCTGAACACAGGTACACAAATTCTGCAGTCAAGGACAATATTGAAAGCTGGACTAGCCTCATTTCATACAAACCATTTAAAATATATAGTTGCATTTTCCACCCAAAATCTACAGACACAAGACCACCACGTGCAAGAACTGTAAAAGTTTGGATTTACTATGTTAAATATATTAATCCTACCAAAAGCAGAGACTGCATTAACACCGATAAAATGCTCAAAGATAACACATTATGGGGGGAAAAAAAAAAAAGGCAAAACAAAGGCAAAACAAAGGCAAAAAAAGCCCAGAATTTAGCACTAGTTAGAAATTTCTGTGTTTTTTATAGCAGAGCAGTTGTAAATTATAGTTCTGGGGAAATGGGATACAGAAGAAGATAGGGTGATAAAGGTGTTGACTGATTGCAAAATAGATATTGCTTTGTTGAGTCTGAACAACGACAGGAAATGTGACGAGGACGTAGATTAGCTGATGCCAAATAAAACAAGTAAACAATTAAAAAAAACCCTATTTAATGGAATGTTAAGGGACTTTAGAAAAGCATTGTACAACATAAAGGCATGATAGGAAGGAAAGAATGAAACTGGAAACAGTATTCTAGGAAACCCAAAGAGTCCAAGAAGCAACCCGTAAGATGTTAAATAGTTAACACTTGCTGGACATAGAAACCAGGGGCCTGGGTTACACAGCAGGGCACATCTGCTGGAAGAATGCACTACACCAAACTGGATATATAGTTTTCTTATAGGAAACTGTTGAGGTAAGATAGGAGACTTGTTTGGCACAGATAGGTTGCAGCAGAGAAAATAACAGTTTATATATATTTAGTGAATACACATGAAAAAAACTGTGCTAAATAGCAGTAGGACATCGGTAAATCGCTATTAACATTAATAAATCAGCATTAATATATTGAACTTCCTTAATATACAAAATTGTTGGGATTTTAAGTTCCCAAGTCTTTAGTTATAATGCAGATGACAACCACAAGTAGTCATTTCTGTTCTCAGAGACTGGATCAATCTCAGAAAACTGAATTTTCAGTGTTAACAATTCTGAAGTGCAATAGGTAGAGTAAACTTACATTTTTGAAGAGCTGTTCTGCAAGTTCTCTAACATGCTTTATCATTTTTGGTGGATTACCTTCATCAGCCTTAATTCTTTCAACTTCAAAGGCTACCAACTTAAAAAAAAAAAACACAAAAAAAACCAACATGCTTACAATTTAGCTAGAAGTAGTTTACTTATTGTTTATATTATGAAATGCTAATATTAAATTGAAACTGAGAAAGAAAAAAGGGAAAAAATTGCAGTCGCCTTGCTCTGCAGCATGACATATTTTCACTTGTATATAGAGCTTCTGCTGCCAGACGTTATAGACTAACCTAACACAGAAATCCTACATACCTAAATCATTCCTTTGGCATTTCTAATGCTATAATCTACATTTCTCAAATGCACTGTTGCTAAGCAGTTAATACCAAACTCTATTTGTACTGTACATTCAAATAAAAAGCAGTATAGAAAAAGCATGGTACTGATTTTTAAGAGAAAAAAAATGCTTGTCCCAGTTCATTTTCGTGGGTATTTAATTTAATATTTCTCATTACTTTTTCAGTGTTTCTAAGAGAGTAATTAAATTACTCAGTTCTGTACTACAACATGTGACGCATTACACATTTCCAAACCTGACAACAGTATTACCATGACTTACATGTGGCAATACACAAATCTTTAATTCCTTATATATGGACAGGGCGCGATGTTATGAAAGTAAGCTAGAAATGCCTGATTAATAGAAAATGAGAAAACAGAAACTAGCATAAGTTTTATATCATACACAGTGGGTATTTAAAGGCACTTAAGTTTTTAAGAAGTTGAAAAGTCACAGGTACATTTTAATTTACTTGGGATTAAAAGAAGAAATAAACAACAACAAAAAAAACACTTTTCACCTCATCAAACAGATCACAGGCTCTAAAGGGAGGACCTCTCTCTGACACAAAACCAGCAAACGCCATTCCATTGAGAACTTTGGTTAGAAAGTCATTCTCAATCAAGCCTCGTTGGCCCAAAAAGGCTGCCTGCATTGAAGACAGAAAGGAATGCAAGTATTTTATCAGTATCGAAAATAGAAACAACTATGTTTGTACAAGCAAACTGCATTTTCAGCAGACTTCAGTAACATGAGGTACTTTCTAACTGAAACTTTTTATATTACCTAATTACTTTTTATACCTGTATTTATACCAGGTGTGATGCAACAGGATTTTATGTACACAGTTAGATATCTTACAGGTAATAAAACAAAACTGGCACCTTCAATTGTTGCCTTGTAAAGACATACATCTTTTCAAAATTCCTTGATGATTCCCCAAATGTTTCTTTATAATGAATTTTAATGTCGTTCACTTTACGTTTACCACTGCCTCTACAATTTGTCCCACTAAAAAACACTGATTTTATGCTATGTCAGAATGATCTTGATTAATTTTTGCATGTCAACAGCAAATTAAAAAACATCTGAGATTTAACTTTCAGTTCTGTAAACGCTTACACTAAAGGTAATAAAATAACAACTACAAATGCTAAGCAAACAAAAATAACTGCTTCACTTTTACCTTGTGGAAATGAATGACTGGCTCAGCGTGAATTCTGATCAGCTGAAGGCATGATCGGTATCCTTGGAAAAGTTGTGCAAATAGCCTAAGGAAGATTGCTCGCACTTCTTTATCCTACAAGCATTGAACACATTGTCAAAACATTTTCGTTTTATAATTTTTTTCACACTTCATATAAAGCTAATATAAAGCTAATTGATGGGATGCCTACTAATTTGTCAAACAGTGCAGCCGTACGTCACGTGAAGTGCATATACACAAATCCATCTGATGCCAGGCTACCTGTGTCTGGCATACAATGCCAAATTTAGTACATGCCCACCCCTTTTCTCCTGTTTTTCTTTCTTCATACCTGCACAGAACTGTCAGTGTCAGGGCAGTGCAAATATAACTGTTTGGATGGTCATACAGTGAAAATCAATGGTAATGAATGAAAAGTGTGTATCTTAGCCTGGATTTCTTCCTTAAGATAGCATGGCTCTACTGTGCCACCTCTATTGGAGGCGGTGACACTGGAGCAGGTTTATTTTCATCAAATTGAGTAGGGGAGTGCTTACAAAGACATGGATGTGCTAGTGGAACTGATATGAACAGATGATGGCAGCCTTGGGTCAGGGTCATCTTCAGGCCAGATGCAATTAAAACCACTGCAACCAAATACTGTGTCATCCACATTATTTTCATTTCACTGCCTCTACCTAGATGGACTACAGCTATGTCTAAAACCTGAGGTCCTAGAAAGTGTTTGAATAATTTTTTGAAGGAATTTTAACTTGAAAATTGCAAGCAGCAAAGAATATTAGACAACTGCAGAATATACCTGCAAAACAAAACCAAGATGTATTTTAAAATTGAATTGGCTCTTGTATTTTTATTCAGATCATCAACTCCAACTGCAGTTCCTTCAAGCTAAAGCCAGTAGCTTTACTAGGTTATTAAGGTGTCATGGCTTCACAACTATTTGTAACCTAAGTTAATTAGACCTTAGTAGATAACTCTCTGGGCTGCTTTATTGACTACAGACAATCATGTATTGTTTCATTCGGGTTGAGTGAAGTTCATCAAAACAAAAAGAATGTTTAAAAAACCCATACAATTCCTTTCCCAACATGCCCAAACATATAATGTAAAGTACCTACCATTAGTATCAGTAAAATTAGGGTCTTATGTTTTGCTGATGTGACTACCACACTTATCTGTACCCAAATTTACTCCAAAATTATTTAATGTTTTTAATGTCTCTAAAATCAGGCATTTACCAAATAATAGACAGACAGATAGACAGAAATACAGAAAACTAGTTTGCCCACTCCAGCAAAATTTTGCAACTTCACTGGTCTGTGAAACAGAGAAAAGACAGATTTAACTCAATAGCCTTTTTAAGACCACTTTTTTTAAAGGAAAATAAGGCGTTTGCATGTTAATGCAAGCATCTTTATAAAGGCTTTGAACCCAGGAGAATGCTGTTACAGAGCAGAATGCAATGTCCTGGTGCCAATTCCTTACTCCACCAGGAATAAAGGATAAGGAAAAGAAAACAAAGCCAAAATTCTTAAAACAAATTTAGTATAAAATTTCAAGTTTTCTAAGAAATTTAAACATAAGAAAGAAATCTTACCAGCATTTTCGTGTGCGATAAAGCTGTTCGTGGAGGAGGGAAGGCATAATCTGCTGTTTCCAAATCAGGATGCAAAACCTAGAGAATTTTTAAAACAATTTTTTCCCCCTCAATTTGCTGAGGCAAGGATAAATTACCTTTTCTTCTTTCTCAAAATAATACTTACAGTAGTTTACTTCAAATAATAGACTGAGGTATGTTATAGAACTTATAGTTTGAACTCATTTCAAATTCATTATGATTGAAAAATCCTTATCTTCCTCTTGAAAAGAGAAAAATCCTATTTTAGTATTAAATTTAATAAAAATAATAATAAATAAAAACATACTGACAATGTTTACTCCAACTTCAGATAATACATTAATCTAAAATGAGAAGCGTTGTCATGATTTATAGTTTGAAATCACATATTTCACTGTGTATGAAAGCAATTTAATACCAAAATACTTTTTTCACGCTTTTAAAAGTGATGAGAAAGTGGAAAATGAGTTTTGTATCAAAACATACTAGAGAAAGCGCCATTTGAGTCTGATGTAGCAGTGGTTCTGGAAGCTGAGAAAGATGAATACATTCAGGAATTTTAATAGTGCCTCCATCCAGATCTGCAATGATTACATCTAACTGTAAGGGACAAACAAAAACATTATTGGTAGTACTGTGAGCATGATCTTATATAGTTTAAATATCCAACAGTTCAGATTTCATAATCTACAGACCAATTAATAAAAGCACATTAAAATAGTACTAATTTTAACGTACAGAATGTTTTTGATACAGGAAATACTCCAAATACTTCATATTACTGTATCTGTACCTAGTTGTTAAAAATGAATATAAATCCTAGTGTTTGTGGATGATCCAGGTCTGCGTTGAGTGATTTGAGATATCTGATAATCTGTTTTCAAAAGGAAATGAAAATGATGATAACTTTAATGTACAAGTATACGTTTCTGGGCACCTCTGTAACTATGGATCAGATTCTCAAATGCATATTTAAAAATTAAGCACAAAATAACTGGGGATAACACTACCTGATAACACTAAAAGAGGTGTTCAGTTTCATGACATGACAAACTTGGAAACGGATCCTTTCCTTCCCATCCTGCACTCCATGCAATCATTTCCCTTCTTTACAGTCTTAACATATTTATAGAAGAATTGATGCTTATGCTTTTTCTCCTCCTGATTGTCTTTTGCAGTAATATTTTCAAAAGATATAGATGGTTCATAAGAACACCTCTGAAGCACAGAAAATCTCTGCATGGCACATGACACTATGATCATTCTCAGTAGTCATACTTACGAGCTCATGAATGTCATTACGAAAGACAGAATGCACACCAATTATGAAAGGCGTTGGTGAACTGAGAACTTCCAATAGCTGCGCAGGAAGAATTGGAATATATGGATAACTGGGAAAAGAATAAATACAGGGAAATAAAATCTTCTATTGCTTTACATAACACTTATTTTTTTTTTCAAGCTTCCTATATTCCTATTCCTAAAATTAAATTTACTATAAGCACTTTTTGTGAAAAACTTCATGAAGAAGTTTTTGTCATGTAAACTCCAGAAATGATTATACCACAGTGTCCACAATTTGTTGTAAACCAGTCAATTTTGCAAAATAAAAGCAAATCATATTTGTAATATTTATGTTATACAGATATTATATTCATTCAAAACTTTTAGGTGATCAGAAACATTAAAGTGATGGATAATACTTTCATTTTAAAAACATGATTAGATATTGGACAGAAAGCTACAGTTCAGACTTCTGTAAAATATTATTAATAAAGAACATCAAAATGAAATTACTTAGTTTGATACTGAAGTGACTGCTAAACATACAGATCTACTTCAGCTACTGCTTACTTGAGATCAACAATTTAAGTCTTTTCATTAGAGCAAGAAAAAAATCTGGATCTGGATTAATCAATGCATTTCCACTCTTAACAGATAATTACAATTAAAAATTTACATTAATTACTATTTTATCACATAAACATTCCAACATATTCATTTTTTCTCCTTTTTATTCTAGATTAATATTATGCTTACCTCTGAAATATTTTAAACACATAAAAATATGCTAATAAAATACAAGCATTCTTTAAAACAGATGAGTCAGAATTACATGTCTTCTTGCTTAAAAGCCAAATAACTTGACATTAAGTTTTCCACTTCATGTTGGACCCAAATGGGATTATTTATATTTAAATTTGATTTAAATTCATCCTCTGGAGATTATTTGTCAATGACTAAAAACTGTTACTAGCTAATACAGATGTCTTCCTAGAATCAAGGAATCTTTCAGGTTGTAAAGAGCCCCAGGAGATCACTTAATGTAACCTGCTCAAAGCAGGACCAAGACTGAATTCAGATCAAGTTTTACTGGGCTTTGTCCAGTTGGGTCCTAAAAACCCACAGGGATGAAGTTTCCAGTCTTCCACTCTGTTCCAGTACTTAATTATTCTTATAATAAAACATGTTTTCCTTGCATCCAGTCAGAAATCCAGTGCACCACTGTTTCAATTTTTTACCACCGTCTCTAATTCTTTTGGCATGCATTGTTTCTTACTTACTGGCACACAGCTATTAGGTCTTGCCCAAATGTTTTCTTCTTCATGCATTTACTTATGGATCACTAGTAGCAAGTTTTACCATCTAATTGATGCTGTGAGTTGGGTTCTATTGTATTTGCAGGTAGGATGTTTCTCCCTTCATCATTTCACTGTCAATGCAAGAGATTTTCAAATGCTGCATACAAGGCTTCTAGAAAACTTTTATATCTGATCATGAAAACTTTATTTGAAATTTACTCAAACAAACACAGCACAGTTTTTGCTAATGACAATGCAATGTGAGTTACAAGTTAGCAATGAGTCAAAGAGTTTAGAGATCTACAGCTCAACTCACCTATATTTGAGAGGAAACATCAAAGACTCCAGAGCCCTGCAGGCATCACTGAGCCTCTGAAAACTTGCTGAGTGAAAGAGAACTTTATTTTCTGTAAGCACGGCACAGAACAAGCTGAGTACATTTTGGATTCCTTTAAAAACATTAAAAAAAAAAAAAAAAAAAAATGAAACCTGCAACAATTTTCCAAAAGAAGATGCAAAATCACATTAAGATGCACCACTTTCTAGGGGAATTTTCAAAGAACATACGTAGATCCATAAATCACCAATCCGCATTTTTTCAACCCCTTCTGTAGCGCAACTTCCGATCTATTCTCAGATTGCTAAAACACCAACAAAATATATTTCCACATTTCTAATATATTCTATAACATCTCCTTTTTCAATATCACTTTCAAAACAATTCCTCTTCTCAGCACAAATTGCAGTAACACTCAATAATGACTTCAAACAGTACCATATGCACCTTCAGCACAACCTTCTATGTACCTAGAATTCAATTCTGGTCACTTATCCAAGCTTAATACTGCTGAGCTAAAAAAGAAAATGACAAACACTTCCCAGTAAACACACTCATACTTCATCCATAGAAAGCATTCTAGGAGTCACGAGGTTAAAAAAGTGCACTAAGGGAGTGCAATGTCATCAGAAGGATATGTTAAAGAAGAACTGACTGCTTAAATGAACCCCACTAGATTTTGGGTAATACACATGAATCAGATGATGGGACTTTTTTTAAGCACCATACAATTTTCCTAAGAGACAAAGCTGTGTGCTCACAGGGAACACCAAAAATATATTTCCTTTAAAACAAAGTTCCATCCTGAAAAAATAGACATGTCTGAGATACGATCAAATTTATGAAATTTCCTGAAATATGCTGGAATGCATGATGGTTCCTTGAGGATATAGCTTGGGTTATCAGTAAGACAGTCTGCACTACCTTTACAAAACTACTGCTTATCTAAAAACAGTCTTCCAAAAGAAGTGAGAGCCACCACAGCCGTATTATATTTAACAATTCATTTGGCTTCAGTAATTTTTATTTTGTTTTGACCATTTTTTGCTCTATAACTTCAAAATGTTTCTACTTTTAAAGAACAAGGAATCAGAGAAAGCTTTTGACAAAAAGATTCATTACGATGAATAAGTCAATAACATAACAGCTTGTGCTTTTGAACTCCGTTCTCCAAGAATCCTAATAGCTTCATGAAATCAATGGTAGAGACTTGAGAGGAAATATCGCTAATATGAATATTGCACTACTGCAAATCAAACTACTTTAGAATACATTATGTAAGTATAACTTTAAAAAAAAAGCCAAGTCTCCTTACGTGAAAAAAAATCATCAGGAAATGGTTAAAAGCTAAACTGAAACAGTGCCCTTTCTTGTATATAAGAATGCATACATTTGTACAGCAAGACAAACTGCTGCTACTTCAGAAATCTCTGTGAAAAATTAAAAACTTCAACTGCTATTTTCATACAGAACTGCCCTTGGTCCTTTCCCAAAAGGTTTTAAAGATTGCTTTCAAATATACTTCTTGTTTTCAACCAGTTAAAATATAGCAAGCAGGCTTCTTACAACATTTAATTCCACACCAAATACCTTATCAAGATGCTTGGGAATATATATTTAAAACATCTGAAATTGTTTTCTTATCATTAAATGCAACAGTCGTCAAATAATTCTACACAAGGCTACATGGCTTTGACAGGGATTTTCGAGGAAAACAAATTTGTATAGCACATAAATATTCACACTAGGGAAATGACTCTGGTTTTGTTGCATATAAGTAGCTGCAGATAAAGATGTAGATCACGCTTCACAAAAGTGTTTTTCATTGTAGCTTAATCAGCCCCAATATAATCTGAAACTGAGATGACTATTTTTAGCTGTTACCTCCCATGTACAAACTTACATCATGCATAAGAATACGTAGAATAATAGAATCAGTAAGATTGGAAATGACCTCCAAGTTCACCTAGCCCAACTACCCACCCACCATCAGTATTGCCTATTAAACCACATCCCTAAGTACCACAACTACACACTATTTGAACAGCTCCAGCAAAGGTGACTCAACCACATCCCTGGACAGACCATTCCAATGCCTGACCAGTCTTTCGGAGAAGTTTTTCTTTATATTCGCCCCAAAATTCCCCTGGAACAACTTGAGGCCATTCCCTCTAGTCCTATTGCTAGTTACAAGGAAGAATGGATCAACACCCACCTCACTACAACCTCCTTTCAGGAGGTTCCCTCTGTCACTCCCCACAGGACTTGTGCTATACATCCCTCACCAGCTTTGCTGCCCTACTTTGAACCCGCTCCAGGGCCTCAATGTCTTTCTTGTAGTGAGGGGCCCAAAACTCAATATGGTACTTGAGTTGCAGCCTCACCAGAGCTGAGTTCAGAGGGATGATCACCTCCCTGCTCCTGCTGGCAACACCATTTCTGATATAAGCCTTTCTGATAATTGGCCTTCTTGGCCACCTGGGCAAAACGCTGGCTCATGCTCAACCTAGCACCAAGCAACACCCTGATCCTTTTCCTCCATGTAGCTTTCCAGCCACTCTCCCCCAATTCTGTGTCGATGCATGGGGTTGTTTTAATCAAAATGCAGGACTCAGCAATTGGGCTTGTTAAAGCTCATAATAATCAGACTCAGTCCATTGATCTAGCCTGTCCAGATAGCTCTGCAGGACTTTCCTACTCTCAGGCAGATGAGCACTTCTTTGCACACTTCCAAGTTGGTTCATCTGCAAACTTTCTAAGCATGCACTCAATCCTCTCAGCCAGGCTATCAACAAAGATATTGAACAGGACTGGCCCCAGTATCGACCTCTGGGGAACACCACTAGTGACCAGTTATCAGCTGGATTTAACTCCATTCACCACCACTCCCTGGGCCTGGCCCTCCAGTCAGTTCTTCACCCACTAAGGAGCGCTCCTGTCCAAGCCACGGGCTGCCAGCTTCTCCAGGAGAGCACTGCAGGAATCAGTGTGAAAGCTTTACTGAAGGCTAGGTAGACTACATCAACTGCTACTACAGCCTTTCCATCACCTACCAGCCGGGTCACCTGGTCACAGAATGAGATGAGGTTGGTCAAGCAGGACCTGCCTTTCACTTGATCCCCTGGCATGCCATGTGATTATGCTCAAGATGATCTATTCCATGACCTTCCCCAGTATTGAGGTCAGGCTGATAGGCCTGTAGCTCCCAAGATCTTCCTTATGACCCTTCTTGTAAATGTTTTTATTACATTCTATTTGTCCTTCAGTACTTCCTCACTTGTCACAGAGGATGAATTTAAAATGTTTGCTACGATATGAATGCACCAGGTGTAGCCCCAGCTTTGCCAAGTTAGACAAAAGCACTGCTTTATTTACAGAGCTTGTGACAGGGACCAAACCCAAGAGCATCTAAATACATTCTTTCACTTATCAGCAGGTCCTGTAAGGAGTAGCAGGGAAAAAAAACATGAACAGTAAGGACACTGGGAAAGATACAACACAGAGTTTAAAAAGGGAAAAATGAAAGCTCTAGCCAAAGCAAGGAGACTGCCCAGCCATTGGCCACCACATAGGAAAGTATAGGAGGAATTCTCTCTCCAGTCTGGCATTCCCTGACACATGTCCAAAGTCCTTGGAAAAAGCGGTTAAAAGCAGCTGCAAACTGTGCACACTGCTGCTGTGCAATCTACAGTTGGCCAACAGGCCTCCCTGCTGAACAAGCTGGGCAGGACAGCATATGTGGGGCCTGGCACATCTTGGCTGTGCAGCTGGGTGAAGGCCAAATGGGGACAAGAGACAAGAGAGCAAGGTGTCCCAGTTGCCTCATGTGACAGAACCTGAAGGGCTTTCCTAGCTTCAGAAAACCTGAAATTTTCAGTGCTTTCAGTCTCTATCTGCAAATTATGGACCTCTGTACACAACACAACCAGAAAATTAAATAAATAAAACCTACAGTTCAAGATGAAGATTAACATAGAATTTTCTTACTTTCAAGGTAGTAGTCTCTAAGCTGATGCAAAATTATAGCTCCACACATACTTTCAAATATATATTTTTTCAAGAGTCTGAAAAATATAATGACTGTGAAAGAAATTTTCATCTGACAGAATCACACAAATTACTCACAGAAAAGTTCTTGATTACCTTCCTTTTATAAATTATTTTAATCATGAATTAAGTTATCTGACCACACTAACATGTTATTTCAAGGCCAGAACATTAATTTACTGAAAAGAAACAGTTCAGAATAACAGCCCATGTCTAGTTTCCTCATGCTACACACTCTGGCTTGTTTGTAACCTTGAACTGCACGCTGTTCTTCAGACTCGACACTACATCCGATGCTCATTTGTCAGGGCATAAATAGACAACACGAAAAACAACAAACAAGTTGGTTTTTACAGATTATTCTTTTGCAGTCCACTGACAGACAGACATCCTGTAAAATATTATACATATGCTGGAAAATTTTGAATGGAGGCTTCCTGACCTTCACTGTTTTCAAGTATTTAAAGAATCTGTAATTTATACTAAATTATCTGACATCCTACATCAACAAATGTATCATTCTGCCTGTTTCCTGTTTTTCTAGAATTTAAGTATTTATTCTAGCATGATTTAAAAAAAAAAAAAAAGCAAAACACCAAGGTGCACTTGACAAGTTACTCAGTGTCCTTTATATTACAAGAAAATAAAACATTATCATTAACTTCTTCAAACTTTTTAAGAGTTATAAACATGAAAGTTAGAAGCTCAGCTAGCTGGATATACTGTTATGCCAATATGCCACTCTTGAATTACTGGACACAAGAAAAAGCTTAACAGACAAAATAATCCGTAACTTAGCCAGACTAATCCAGGAAATGGGTCAACAAAGACAGAAAAGCCTTTCTGAAAGGCCACTGGAGATTGCATAGTACAAGTTCTGTGCCAGGCAGTGTCACACTCTAAAGGTAACTGGGAAACAAAATAAGAGAAAAACACAGAACTCTTTTCATTTTTATTTTTAGATATAATAGCATAGCACTGCTAATGAATGAATTCCATGCTTAACTAATAAATAAGAGGCAGCAAATATACTCAATAGTCATAGGCGATTCCTGCCAAATTGCA